TTGAGCTGAGCTCTTAATTGTGTCACCGTCCATACACTCTTTTATTTTGTGTGGGGGAAAATGGGACTTTTAAAAAAACAAGAGTTGGATGTGACCTGAACATTTACTTGAAGCCAAGATCTGTTTGGGTGCAAAGGGATTCCTTCACCAAATAGGATCTGGAAAAAATATACTCTATTCTCCAGACAGCAGGATGGCAGAATATACAAGAGACAAGGTAGTTGTCAAGATCATTAAAACTGGTAAAAGTGTTTATTGCCTGGTGTTTCTTGTTTCTATTTATGAATATGGGTAGGGAGAAGAAGCAATAATCATGTGCTTTCATGTCAATTCTGACTTATGGTGACCCTTTTCAGGGTTTTCCAGGTAGAGAGTACTTAGAAGTGGCTTACCCTTCTCTTCTTCTGGCTTTGCCTAAAGCCACACAGGCTGGCTCTACACAAAGGAGACACTGTGGGGAACTAAACTCCCAGACTTTGGCTCTGCAGCCAGATTCTTAAACTACGTACTGAGCTATCCAGCCAGCGAGAAGAATGCACTCCCTACAAATAGAGGCCCAAGGCTAATGTTTACTCCTACGTGCCAAGTTGCGCCATCAAAGTGCAAAATATACTGTAGCACTTTCGCCTCCTGTATTTGTTGGTAATATATCAGCAATAACAACTTTAGTGAATTATGTAAGCAAGACCATTTTTTCTCATCTGTTCTGGATTTAGTACTACAGTAGTTGGGAATAGCGAGGAACTTTCAGCTCCCAAAAGCTCGACGTCATAGGGTCAATGGCATGGCCATTTTAGTCCAACATCTGGAAGGCAAAGGGCTTCCTTGCCCCAGTTTGTGGCTTTTGTTTCCTTCCTTTGCTTAACTTTATGGTCAACACAATGTACAGTACAACTATACTGGAAGGAAACAAAAGACAAAAATGTTCTGGCACCTTAAGGATTAACTGCTCTATTTTAGTTTTAGAAGAGGTAGCTGTGTTAGTCTGTGCAGGCGTATCAGGCAAAATCCAAGGAAACAAATCAGGACAAAAACATGTTGCACCTTAGAGACTATCGACTAAACAACAAAAATTTATATTTTAATGCGAGCTTTTGTGGAGAAGCACACTTTGTCAGACATATGGGAGAAAATGAAATGCTGGATGAAATACCAATACACAAGTAAAACATACTAAACATTCATTTAGTATGAATAGTAGCTTCAGGAATACTTTATATTCATTTAAATATTCAATGAATATTTAGTATGGTTTACTGATGTATTGTTATTTCATCCAGCATTTCATTTTTTCCGTGTATCTGGCGAAGTGGACTTGTCCCCAAAAGCTCACACTAAAATGTAATAGTTTTTAAGGTGCCACGTGTTTTTATTTTGTTTCTTTGGATTTTGCCTGATAAGCTCTATTTTAATGTGAGCTTTCATGGATCAGTCGGCCTCCATCAAAATCGCAACTGTGTCCTATTATTTTAATGTGAGCTTTCGTGGATCAATCGGCCTCCATCAAAATCGCAACTGTGTCCGAAGTCGTATTTGCCTTTAAAAAAAAAAGGTGGGGGGAGGCTCTCCTCTTTCCAAAGACCCGCACCCTCGGCTCAGGGGTTTCGAAGGACAATGTGAGCTGGGGCTCGAGGAAAGCCCAAGGGCGCCCTCCCGCCCGCTTGGACGACTCCGGCTTTT